AACCGCATGCGAACACCCCCACTGGGGCCTTCGGTGGAGCTCCCTATGGGGCCACGAAACGTTGCCCTGGGTGGGGGAACCGCATGCGGGCACCCCCACTGGGGCCTTCGGTGGAGCTCCCTGTGGGGCCACGAAACGCTGCCCTGGGTGGGGGAACCGCATGCGAACACCCCCACTGGGGCCTTCGGTGGAGCTCCCTATGGGGCCACGAAACGCTGCCCTGGGTGGGGGAACCGCATGTGGACACCCCCACTGGGGCCTTCGGTGGAGCTCCCTATGGGGCTACGAAACGCTGCCCTGGGTGGGGGAACCGCATGCGAACACCCCCACTGGGGCCTTCGGTGGAGCTCCCTATGGGGCCACGAAACGCTGCCCTGGGTGGGGGAACCGCATGCGAACACCCCCACTGGGGCCTTCGGTGGAGCTCCCTATGGGGCACGAAACGCTGCCCTGGGTGGGGGAACCGCATGCGACACCCCCACTGGGGCCTTCGGTGGGCTCCCTATGGGGCTACGGAACGGCCCTGCGAACGCTGCCCTGGGTGGGGGAACCGCATGCGGACAGGAGGAGGGGGGGGGTGGATAGGAGGAGGAGAGGAAGGAAGGAAGGAGAAGGAGGACGGAAGGAAGGAAGGAGACGCGGGGCGTTGTCTCTTTCAAAACGAGGACCCAACACCACAGGATGGTTGGGAAACTAACATCCTTTCAAACAATCGTCAAGTGGACGATTTTGGCCTCTTCGGGCCCTCCTGGAGAACCTCTTGGAGGCCTCTTGGGCCGTCTTGGAGGCTTCTTGGGCGAACTTGGAGGTATCTTGGACCCTCTTGGGCCGTCTCGGAGGCCGTCTTGGACCATCTTGGGTGGACTTGGAGGCCATCTTGGACCATCTTGGAGGCCATCTTGGGCCAACGTGACCATCCTGGAGGCCATGTTGGGCCGTCTTGGAGGAAGAATTGGGATTGGGCGATGGCGTGTGCGTCTTGCGGGTCTTGGGGGGCGGCCGGCGGGACGGGCCGAAACCCATTGGGAGAGTTCTTTTGGAAAAAGAGCCAAAACCGACATCATCCAGCACGCCAGGCACCCCTACGATGAATCGACAGGGGGCGGCGGATCGAAGACGCCTACGGCGAATCACCGCCGCCCCCTGCCTTTGTGGAAGCGCCTATGTGGCCGAACGTTGAGGCCAGACCTGCCAAGCCATCGGACCATGTGTTCCCCGAATCGGTTTGGAAAGCCTTCGGGGAACACGTGGGCATCTTGAATGTCATTTTGGCCGCCTTGGAGGCCTCTTGGGCGATCTTTCGGGGCTCTTGGACCGTCTCGGGCCGTCGGAAAGCCGAAAAGAAGAACATGTCAAAATTCGTCAAAAACCTAAGGACAATCAATGTTGTTGGCCTCTTCTGGCCTTCCTGGAGGCCCTCTTGGGGGCCTCTTGGGCCCTTTTGGGCCAGCTTCGAGCCAACTTCGGCCATCTTGGTGGGTTCCTGGCACGTCTGACGCCGTCGGGAGTCGTCTCGGGGGCCTTTCTGGGCCAACGGGGGATCCTCTTGGGGCGCTTCGGGGCCGTCTTGGAGGCCATCTTGGGCGTCTTGGAGGCCATCTTGGGCTTGTTGGAGGCCTCTTGGGCCGTCTTTGGACCCTCTTGGGGCCATCTTGGAGGCCACTTGGGCCGTCATTGGGCCCTCTTGGGGGCCTTTTGGGCGATCTTGGGGGCCGTCTTGAGCCGTCGGAATGCCGAGAAGAAGCACATTCCAAAATCCTTCAAAAACCTCTGGAAAATTAATGATTCTGGCCTATTCGGGCCCTCCTGGAGGACCTCTTGGAGGCCTCTTGGGCCGTCTGGGAGGCCTCTGGGGGGCCTCTTGGGCCGTCTTGGGCCGTCTTGGGCCGTCTTGGACTCTCTTGGGCCGTCTTGGAGGCCGCCTTGGACCATCTTGGGCGGACTTGGAGGCCATCTTGGAGGCCATCTCGGAGGCCATCTTGGCCATCTTGGAGGCCATCTTGGAGCCGTCGTGGGCAGAAAAGTATGGAATTGAGGTCCGTGGAAAAAATCCCGGGACCCCGGCGGGACGGGCCGAAACCCACTGGGAGAGCTCTTTTGGAAAAAGAACCAAACCAAAACCGAGAGGATTCAGCACGCCAGGCACCCCTGCGATGAATCGACAGGGGGCGGCGGATCGAAGACGCCTACGGCGAATCACCGCCGCCCCCTGCCTTTTTGGAGACGCCGATGTGGCCGAAAGTTGGATTAGAGCTTGGCCAAGCTATCGGACCATGAGTTCCCCGAGTCGGTTTGGAAAGCTTTCGGGGAACACATGGGAGAGAATGATTATGAACAGGAAGAGGAAGAGGAAGAAATAGAGTAGGAGGATGAGGGTTGTTAGGAGTCTCTTGGGGCACCCTTGGGGTCTGTTGGGGGCTTCTTGGGGGCCTCTTCGAGGCCTCTTGGAGGCATCTTGGGGGCCTCCTTGGGCCTCTTGGGGGCCTTTGGGGGCTTCCTGGGGGTCTCTTTGGCCGTCTTAGGGCGTTCCTGGTCCGTCTGACGCCGTCTGGAGCCGTCTTGGGGGCCTCTCTGGGCCGTCTTGGGGCCCTCTTGGGGCGCTTCAGGGCCGTCTTGGAGGCCATGTTGGGCGTCTTGGAGGCCTCTTGGGCCGTCTTGGGGCGCTCTTGGGGCCGTCTTGGGGGGCCCTTGGGCCGTCATAGGGCCTTCTTGGAGGCCTCTTGGGCGATCTTGGGGGCCTCTTGGGCCGTCGGAAGGCCGAAAAGAAGAAAACGCAAAAAACCTTCAAAAACCTAAGGAAAACCAATGATTTTGGCCTCTTCGGGCTCTCCTGGAGAACGTCTTGGAGGCCTCTTGGGCCATCTTGGAGGCATCTTGGGGCCATCTTGGCCGTCTTGGAGGGCATCTTGGGCCGTCTTGGAGGCATCTTGGAGCCATCTTACCCGTCTTGGAGGCCATCTTGGCCGTCTTGGAGGCATCTTGGAGGCCATCTTGGGCCATCTTGGCCGTCTTGGAGGCCATCTTGGGCCAAGTTGGGGCAACAAAGGCATTGACAGACGGATTTTCGGAAACTTGCGGGTGGCCGGCGGGACGGGCCGAAGCCCACTGTGGAGTTCTTTTAGAAAAAGAACCAAAACCAAAACCTGACTCGTCCAGCACGCCGTGCACCCCTGTGGCAAGACCACAGGGGGCGGCGGATCGAAGACGCCTACGGCGAATCACCGCCGCCCCCTGCCTTTGTGGAAGCGCCTATGTGGCCGAACGTTGAGGCCAGACCTGCCAAGCCATCGGACCATGTGTTCCCCGAATCGGTTTGGAAAGCCTTCGGGGAACACGTGGGCGTCTTGATGGTCATCGTCGCCGTCTTGGAGGCCTCTTGGGCGATCTTTCGGCGATCTTTGGCCAGACCTGCCAAGCCATCGGACCATGTGTTCCCCGAATCGGTTTGGAAAGCCTTCGGGGAACACGTGGGCGTCTTGATGGTCATCGTCGCCGTCTTGGAGGCCTCTTGGGCGATCTTTCGGCGATCTTTGGGGGCTCTTGGGCCGTCTCGGGCCGTCGGAAGGCCGAAAAAAGGGAAATGCCCAAATCCATCAAAAACCTTGGGAAAATCAGTGATTTTGGCATCTTTTGGCCTTCCTGGAGGCCCTCTTGGGGGCCTCTTGGGCCCTTTTGGGCCAGCTTCGAGCCAACTTCGGCCATCTTGGTGGGTTCCTGGCACGTCTGACGCCGTCGGGAGCCGTTTTGGGGGCCTTTCTGGGCCAACGGGGGACCCTCTTGGGGCGCTCCAGGGCCGTCTTGGAGGCCATCTTGGGCGTCTTGGAGGCCATCTTGGGCGTGTTGGAGGCCTCTTGGGCCCTCTTGGGGCCCTCTAGGGGCCATCTTGGAGGCCACTTGGGCCATCAGGGGGCTCTCTTGGGGGCCTCTTGGGCGATCTTGGGGGCTTCTTGGGCCGTCTCGAGCCGTCGGAGAGCCGAAAAGGCGCAAATGCCAGAATCCTTCAAAAACCAAGGAAAAATCAATGATTTTGGCCTCTTCGGACTCTCCTGGAGGACCTCTTGGAGGCCTCTTGGGCCGTCTGGGAGGCCTCTGGGGGGCCTCTTGGGCCGTCTTGGGCCGTCTTGGACTCTCTTGGGCCGTTTTGGAGGCCGTCTTGGACCATCTCGGGCGGACTTGGAGGCCATCTTGGGCCATCTTCGCGATTTTTTGAGGATGTCCCGAGCGAAACGGCCGTTTTTGGAGGATTTTTTGCGGTCGTTGAGCACGTTTGGGAAAATTCCGGGTGGCCGGCGGGTTCTGCCGGAGCCCACTGGGGAGTTCTTTTGGAAAAAGAACCAAAACCAAAACCTGACAGCTCATCCAGCACGCCGTGCACCCCTGCAAGCAGGGGGCGGCGGATCTGGTGACTTTCGGCCCATCCCGCCACCGTGCTTGGTTCGCGGACACAAGGCTTGTTCGGGGGATTTCGGGGCCCTGTGTGGGTCTCTTGGGAGCCCCTGGACGGGGCATCTTGGGGCCTCTTGGCGGTCTCGTGAGCCATCACCTTGGGTTGGGAGGCTCAACGTGGCAGTGCGAGTTTCACCTCTTGGGCCCGTCTGGGGGGTCTCCTCGGAGCCTCCTGGGCCCCTGGTTATGGCCTCGTCGGCCCACTTTTTCGGGTCTTGGGGCCTGGCCTCTACTTGCCGTCCTGGGCGCCTTCAATATCAAAAAGCAAACGCGCGTCAAGCATACGAACAAAGCGTGTTGTGACTCGCTCGTTTTAGCTCTTGGGCTAGTCCCCTGGTCCTCAAAGGGTGCCCGGGAGGTCCCAAGAGAGCCCCAGGACGGTCCCATCGGGTTACCCGGGGGTTCTCAGCTTTAGTGAGCGTTTTTTGGAAGGCTCTGAGGGCGACGTTGAGGGCGGCTTGGGCGGGCTCGATCTCCCAGGGGCCCCCCGCGGCGAGCGCCAAGAGCGCCTGGGAGCGCCCACGGAATCCAGCAAACTGGTGGTCTGCGCCGAGGGCACGGTGGCGGATTCCAATCGGTCAGGTTTGCCGGCATCTGGAGTGCGATTCGGTCATCGTGTTCTCCACGAATTTTCTTGCCATCATCCCGCTGGCCAGCCTGCTGGGAGGAGCGACGGAGGCCCTGTCCGAGCACACGGGCCAGCTGCTCGGCGGGCTCCTGAACGCCACCTTCGGCAACGTGGTAGAGATGATTATGTGCGTCCAGAGCGTCAGGGCGGGGCTCATCTCGGTGGTGCAGGGGAACCTGTTGGGCTCCATACTCTCCAACCTGCTCCTGGTGCTGGGCATGGCCCTCGTGGCCTCCGGCATCAAGCGGAAGATTGCCTCATTCAACTCGCAGGGCGCCGCCGCAAACATGACCTGCCAGCTGGTGGCCTCCATCAGCGTGTGCCTCCCCACAATGTATGACACGGTGCACGGGGCGACTGGTGAGGAGGTCTTGCAGATCTCGCGGATATGCAGCTTGCTCCTGATAAGCCTCTACGGCCTTTTTCTGTTCTTCATGCTCCAGACGCACTCCGAGCTCTTCGCGGACGAGGGCGCGGAGGAGGAGCCCGGGCAGGGCCTGAGTCCTTGGCTCTGCGTCGCGCTCTTGATAATCCTCACCATGATGGTGGAGAGGAGCTCGGACGCCCTGGTGGACGTCATCGAGGAATTCTCTAACAAGTACGGCATTTCCAAGGCGTTCATCGGCGTGATCCTGTTGCCCATCGTCGGCAACGCCGCGGAGCACGCCACTGCCGTCACCGCCGCCTACAACGGCATGATCGACCTGGCGCTCGGTGTTGCGGTCGGCTCCTCGACGCAGATCGCGCTCTTCGTCGTGCCCGTGTCCGTGATCTTCGGTTGGATCTACGGACACCGGTGGCGCGCCCGCGGGGGGCAGTGGGCCGAGAGGGGCGGTCTCAGACGGCAGGGGCTCTGTCAGAGGCCTCTCCCTGCCCCTTGAGACCCAGGCGTCCTGAGGCGCCTCGGTCTCAAGGCGTCCTCAGACGTCCTGAGACTGAGGTGTCCTAAAGACGCCTCAGTCTTAGGACTGAGGCGTCCCAAGACGTCCTATTAGGAGGCGTCTTAAAGACGCCTCCGGTACCTTCCACGAAGCCCTCCGACGCCTCAGAAGGCCTCCACGCCCCTTGGCGCGCCTCCGAGGACAGCCCATGGACTTGAATTTTACCGTCTTCGACACCGTGTGCCAGATGCTCACGGTGTTCTTGGTATCGCAGGTCCTGCAGCATGGTGCTCGGGGGGAGGGTTGCAAAGTCATCAACCTCCCCGTGGTTGCGGCCAGATCCGTCTCACAAAATTCTGGCCTGAACGCAGCCCAGGACAAGTCGGACGTCGTCGCCATCGACGCTCGATCAAGATTTTTGATTTGTGCACCGTTTTCAGAGCGAGGGGGGGCCGAACGGCCTTACTCTGTCCACGGCCGCGCGTTGAATAGGAGCGTATGGCTTCACAGGGGGACACGTTTGTCACCTGGACGACGTTCATGTTCCGCCTATTCCTCTTCGGGCCTAGGTGGAGCTGGAGCAGCTGGGGTCTGTCTGAAGATCGCAAGGCGTCGCTGAATGCATTGGCGATGCGATGCTGTTTGGAGCCGCACCTTATCCGGTCTCGCGTCGCCAGTGCACCAGCGATGCGGCGCGACCTTTGGACTCCACTTTACGGGAGCCCCACCGCATCCAAATTCCCTTTTCCCCCTTCGCCCGCTTCTCTACGCCTCGTGTCCTCGGATGAGATCCCCGGCGGAGTCCAGAGCCAAGCTTTGCTACGCCTCGCAGTCCCTCTTGTCCGCAGGCAGTGGCAGGCGGTGAATGCTGTCCTGAGTACACGACGGTCGTTGAAAGTAAGTATTTTTGGACTCCCAGATCCCAATCTATTTCAAGCGCCTTCCTGCGTCAAGAATCGGCATGCTTTTGCTGTGTTTTGTTATTCCGGAGCATTTTCTTTGGGTGTAGGGTAAAGGATGAAATCTGAAATGCCGTCCCGATTGATGTTCGACGATTGAATCTGCAAGCGGTGGATCACATGACGGATTGATTTTCGAGGTGCGAAAGCACATTTGGATTTCACCCTGAGCCCTCCATCCTAAGAAAATGCTCAGTTATTCTCTGGGAGGACCTGGACCCATTCCACTGTATCCGCCTTCCTACTTCATGTTTCGACCTACTTCTTCCGACCTTCGTGTAGTGTTAAGTCGGGACTGTCCATCTACAGGGGGAATATCTAAAGATAGTCAAAAAATAGGCGGGGGACTATTTCTTGAGCATGTTCTGTGGAATATTTTGGGGGTATGTTTTATGTTTCGTCCAAAACCCCCCTGTAGGGGGACAGGCCCGACTTAAGCGTAGTGGAAGGGGTGGCCCAGGGGTTCGCTGAGTGCCCGGCGCCGTGAGCGCCCCGTGCGCGCCCCGTGCGCTGGCTTGGGGGGGGGCGGTCAGGGTTCGCCGCGCGCCCGCCTTGGGGGGGGCGTCTCGTGGGCGCCCCGTGCGCTGGCCTACCGGCCGGAGTTTCTCAGGAGGGGAAAAATCACACAGACACAATTCATCGCCGATTCCCCAGAAGATGTGGAAAAATATGGGAAGTGGGGGGAAGACAAAAACCCAGAAACCATGGGAAAATATATGGTATCCTGTCATTTGTGCGCTGGCTGATCGGGCCGGATTTTCGCCTGGTGCCCGCCCGTGATCAAGCAGTGGCGAAGCGTCTTGGCTCGCCTATAGCCCTACGAAACAATGTTATACGAACCCTTTGTGGTTCCCACGAGATGTTCTCAGAACATTTCTGGCGGAGTCTGTCTTGTGTTCTCACATGGGGTTCATGTTCTAAGAACATTGTTTTTGTTTTTGGAATATGTTCGGGTTCTGAGAACAAGTCGTGGTAGGACTATAGGAATGGCGGGACGGTCGGTCCCTGCTCAACGTGAGCGCCTCACGGGCTTGCACCACACACAGTGGAGACCCATGCCACGCAACACCCTGCTTGCCTCCAGGGTGCCCTGGGTGTCTTGGGTTTCGATGGTTTGGCCATGGAGAGCGCGATGTTCTCGCACCAAGAATCCATGGACGCCCTAGGGTTCCAGGGTTGGGCTTCTTGTGGAAGGCTTCTTGTGGTCGGGCTCCTACTGCAGCTTGTGCAGCCTACATTGGACTGAATTGTTGCCGCGCATATCCCACGCCGCCCAGCTGGCACCACATAGCATATACTACATAGCTTGCACCACACAACTTGCAACACACAGCTGGCAGCGTATAGCTTGCACCACGTAGCTTGCACAGCGTAGCCTACTTGGCGCCACGTAGCGTGCACCGCATAGAACTTGCACCATGTGGCTGACGCTAGATGGTTTACACCACGCAGCTTGCACCACATAGCGTACACCACATAGCTTGCATCATGTAGTTTACACAACAAAGTCTACACATCCAGAGAGCCACTGTTTGATGGTCACGCTGGCAAGCATTCATATCTTTCCGAAAGACAGCGTTTACGCAGCATTTCCCCCCTGCAGGCACCACCAACTGGCTGCACGGAGCCATGCTCATGTCGGTATATTTCTTCATAGCCATCGAGACGTTGTACATTATGGAACCCGCGCGGGCGTAGGTTCACAGGGCGACTCTGCCCCGTCCGTTCTCCCCCCGTTCCCCATCAATCCTTTCTCCCTCCTTGACCCTCCACCCTTCCTCCGAACCCCCCGCACCCCTGTCGTCGCCGTCATCAGCATTCTGGTCCTGCTTCGTCGTCGCTGCTTCCGTCCCCCCTCCTCCGCCCCCGCCCTTCCTGGCCCGGGCGATCTGCTGGGCCTGCCCGGTGGCGCTTTCTTCCTCCGGGGAGGCCGTTGTAGCAGCCACGGACTTGCCAGCCCTCGCCCGGCGTCCAACAAGAGGCTGGTCGACAGAATCTGCGCCAGCGCAGCCCAGCTTCTGACGGAGCACACGGCCGCGCTCACGTGGCCGGAAGGCGGACGCTGGCGGCCGAGGCGGCGCAGAGCCACGGCGGGCGCGGAGGAGGGGGGCACGGAAGCAGCGGGCGGGTCCGCCCGCTGCGGCGCTGGGTACGGACGCTGGCGGCCGAGGCGGACGAACGGTCGCGGGCGGCGGCCCGTCGCTGGCGGCGCGGCGGCGGCCGCAGCCCCCCGCGGAGCCCGCGGCGGGCGCTGCGCCCTCCGGCCCTCTGCGGCGGCCTCTGCTTCCGACAGCCCAGCCTCTGCGGCGGCAGCGAGCTCTCCAGCGGGCCTGCAGCGCGCGCGCGTGGCATCCAGCGGTGTGCGAAGACAGCGACGGCTAGTCGGAGGAGAAAAAGGTAGCCATCCCTCCTGCGCCGAATCCTTCCTTGTTGGCAGCGCCCTGGGTGGAGCCGCAGCGTCTCGCTGGCACTCGAGCCCGCGACCAACGACGCCACATCCAAAAGTATCCATCGCTTCCATCATCCCGCCCTCGCCCGAAGGGTGCGTGGCTCCCTCAGCTTGCCTCACCCGCCCAGGGAATCGGGCGCCCAGGCTCCTGCTGCTTACCAAGGGGCGGCCACGGACGGTGGCCGCCCCCGCTGCAGCGGACGGGCCCGTGGGCCGGGGGCCCCTCCAAGCAGGTGGGGCGGGGCAGCCTGCGGCACCCGGCGCGCAGCCGGCCGCGCACGCCAGCCGGCGCGAGGGCGAGGCGCGCCCGACGGCCTGCGGAGGCGGGCTCTTCCGGTCTCCTGGGGGGGGGGGCCACGCGAGAGAGCGCGAGGGTGCTGGCGCCCTGTGCCGCGCGAGGGCGCGAAGGTGGGCGAGCCGGCGAGGCCGGCGAAAGCGGCGCGCCGGGCGCGCCGTCCGTGCAACCGCACCGCTCCTGGCCAGGCCCACCCTGGGCCTGCAGGACTGTTGCCTGCGCCCTGCCGGCCAGTCCACGGGGGGCGTGCGGGCGCCGATCCTGGGCCCACGGTGCGCCCGGCAGGGGGGAGGCGGGCCTCATCGCTGCCGCAGCCGGCGGCGAGGGCCCGGTGGGTGTGCGCGCGGAGGCTCGAGGCGGTGGCGCTCTGGGGCCGGCGGCGCTCCCAGCGGTGCCAGAGTCGGGGCGAGGGTCCTCTGCAGCGGAGCGCACCACTTCCCGCCTCGGGTGCGGGCTCGCAGGGGGCGGTGCCGGTTGGCCCGCTGGCGCTGCCACGCTCTGCCTGGGCCACCAGGCAGTCGTCGCGATGCTCAGCCGCCTCTGCCCTCCTCTCTTCGCCCTTCGCCCGCCGCCTCCTCTTCTTTCCACCTCTCCCGCCGATGGTGCCCCGTCTTTCAGGAGGGGAAAAACACAGAGAAAATTAATTGCCGATTCTCCAGAACTTATGGGAAAATACAGGGAATCTTGTTATTTGTGTCTTTTTTTTTGTGTGTCCCAGGTCCCCTTCAGTCTTGCTCCCACTGCTCCTTTGCATCCTCTGCCTCCGTCTCGTCTGTGTGGGTCATTCTCCGCGTCGTCAGCTTCACCATCACCGTCCTCCTGGTTTGTATAGGCTGAGATCATGAGCTGTCACCTGCGAGATCTCAATATGCACAATATTGGTACGCGATTGTGGTTCCGACGTCCACACGTTGCTCACACAGCATATATGTCGGCGGTGCGCCGTGGCACGAAACCCCCCCCCAGCACTACCGGGGGGGTTCGTGCACTACCGGGGGGTTTCGTGCAGCCCGCACCGGGTGCCGCCAGCGGCTTAGAACACCCCCCCCTTGCCGCTTTACCGGGGGGGTTCGTGCAGGCCGCACTGGGTCTACCTGGGCTCCCCCCCCCCCCTGTGGGAGTGGGGGGGTGGGAGTGGGGGGTGGGTTGGGGGGGGGCAGGGGGGCGGTTGGGAAGGGTGGCTCCCTGTCGAAGTGTGGCGTGTGCTCGCCTTGTGTTCTCTATTCGCGTCTGCTCGCCTTTGTTCCGCCGCAGCCTCTCGTATTGTGGCTCGTGGCCACAATACGAGAGGCTGCGGCGCAACTCCCGAGAGCCGCTGTGGGGGGTCGACGGCACGGCCGCGTAGAGAAGAACAGTGCCGCCGTGTTCCGGCACGGCCCTGGGATGCAATGCCGCCGCCGTGTTCCGGCCCGTCCTGGTAAGATTCGCAGTCCTTACCGGGGGGTTTCGTGCAGCCTACCAGAGGAGGTCGTGTTTACCGGGGGGTTTCGTGCAGGCTCGCACCGGGAATGGCGCCAGCTCGAACCCCCCCAGGAGAGATTACCGGGGGGGGGGTTCGCTCCGCACCGGGCACCGCCGACATATATATATATATATATATATATATATATATATATATATATCGACATAGCTTCATTATCGCATCTATCATCATGTCCGCTACCGTTATCTGGTTAAAGTTACCTCACGGTCCTCGTCATCCTTATATTCGTTTGCATGTACTTCTTCATCGCACTCCGCATCATTAGAACCCCACATCAGTTGCCTTGTGTCATCCACATCATCATCTCCTGCTTTGAGCCCCCTGTCCACCCTCATCCTCACAATTCTCTTCCGATTTCGCCCTCTCCCCGTCCTCATCCTCTTGATCTTCTGCATCGCAACCACTCTGGTTCTTCTGCTCATCTTCCTCCCCTCACACTCATCATTCCTTACTCTTCCTCCATCTCTTCTCTATACCATCCTCCCTGCTCATTTCTTCCTGCATCCCTATCCTCTTCCTGATTCCACCACCTCCTCTCCTCTCCCATCAACCGTCTGACTCATTGACCTGATCCACTATCAGTCGTCCCCTCACGCACTTGCCGAATTACGATCATCGTCATCACTACTACGTGAAATCGCTCCCGTCGTGGTCACTATACTCATGCTCAGAATCATGATATTAATGCATCCCATCCTAGTCATATCCATGCTGTTCCTGCTCCTGACATGTTCCGTTCCTCGCTTGCCCTTCTTCTGTCTCACCGAGCATGATCGACCTGTATGTATGTCGTGGCAGCAATCGACATTTTGCGGTACAGCTTGTCGCGGATATGTGCCAAGCCTCAGCCGAGAAAGGCAGCAGTTCTAGATATGGTTTTATGCTGGCAGGCAGTTGCACTGTTGCGGAGTACTTTGTTTTGAATCGTTTCGTTCATTCCACCGGCCCATTTCGCACCGCGGTGGCTGCATGGTCGTGTGCTCGTACCCATGGGGAACGGTGGGGCAGGCAGGATTGTCCTTGAGGGGATCTTCGGAGATGTGGCTCGCACCCTGTCGAACAGAGTCGACAGACTGCCCCAGAGGTCGCCAAGATGACTCAAGAGAGCTCCAGCAGAGTTTCGAGATGCACGTAGGTTGTGGGTCAGAGTCCTCATGGACGCTTCTTGGGGTCTCTTCGGAGGGCTCGGGAGCTTCTGGGGAGGAGCAGTTTTGAGGCCTCTGGGGGGCCTCTTGGGGGCTTCTTGGGGGCCTCATGGGGCTCCCTGGGGGCCTGTTGGGGTATTGGGAGCCTCTTTGGGGGGCATCTTTGGGGGCCTCTTTGGGGGCCTCTTGGGGGCCTCTTGGGGCCTCTTGGGGTCTCTGGGAGGGCTCCTGGGGGCCCCTAGGGGCCGAGAGTTCGAAATGTCTGCTCGGGTTCCCCCTTCTGGTCCTTCTCTGGGGGCCATCCTGGGGTCGCCTTTGAGGCCTCCTGGGCCGTTTGGGAGCGATCCTGGGGCCGCTCGGGCCGTCCAGGGCTGTCGGCAGCTCGAAAAGGCGGTTCCGCCAATATCGCTCGAACCCCGAAGCAACATCAGTGTTGTGTGCGGTTGCGGGGCCTCGCGAAGTCCTCCCGGACCCCTTGGGAGCGTCTTGGGCATTCCCTGGGCCGTCTTGGGACCAACGTGGGCCATCTCGGAACGCTGCTGGCCACACTTTTGGCGCCTCATTGGGGCGCGCTTTGCTTTGGCAGGCAGTTGCACGGTTGCCCAATAGTTTGTAATATGGAATGTGGCGTTTCCCAGTTGTTTGCCGCAAACCCCGCCTTCGCGCCAGCGAAGCATGGGCCTTCATGCACGACGGTTCTATCGAGATGTCCCCAACACGCGTGGTATAAGATCCCGTTTCTTTATTGCTTGGGGCATGACGGGCGTCATGGCCCCCGCTCCCCCCCCCTTATGACGTAACGCTCCCACCCCCAGTGCGCTCCGGGCACTGCCGTCGTGCGTTGTGGGATCGGCGTAGGTGTCCGCGTAGGAATCCGCATAGGAGTCTGGTCCGCAGTCGTCGTCGTCGTCGTCGTCGTCGTCGTCGTCGTCGTCGTCGTCGTCGTCGTCGTCGTCGTCGTCGTCGTCGTCGTCATCGCTCGTGGCTTGTCGCTCGTCGCTCATATTCGTCGTGCGCGCGGACGCGGCTGAAGCCTGTTTTTCTCCAGGCCCATGACGGCAGTCATCTAGGGGTGGTGGAAGGGGTCGATGTCGTCACGTTTCGCGCCAGCGGCGTCTGGGAATGCTTAGGAATGACGGGGGACCGGTAGCGCCAGCAGGTAGGTGGCGATTTGCACCACAATGCCTGTGTACACCACAGTGCCTGCGTGCACCACAGCGCCTGTGTACACCACGCCGCCTATGTACACCACAACAGCCGCGTGCAACACAACGTCAGTTTGTGCCACCGTGCCTGCGGGCACAACAGCTCTTGTGCACACCACAACGCTTGCGTACACTACATCAGCCGTGTGCAACACATCACCAGTGTACACCACAATGCCTGCGTGCATTGTAGTGCCTGTGTGCAGCAACCGTGTGCAACGCAGCACCACTGCTGTATCTAGAATGTTTAAACGAATCCTTCTGACAAAATGGAGCGCTTGTGGACTCCACAGAGAACAATAGAAAATGATCCTTATGGGCAACGGAGCGCCGCCGGAATCTAAGTCCTCCCGAGTCCGCCCGCATCACCTTAATTCCTCCCACCTGCGTCCAGGAGGCTCCAGCGCAATTGGCCTTCCGAGAACCAAATGAACCGATTCAATCGACCATTTTGCGGTGCGCGCTGAGATGCGCACGTGCTCTGTAGCGCCAACCCGCACGACAGGGGGTAAGGAGGAAACGGAGGAGAAGAGGAGGAGGAGGAGGAGGAGGAGGAGGTGGTGCAGGTGGAGGAGGAGGGAGGAGGGAAAAACGTCGCATTCGATTATCAGCACTTTCCTGGCGTGGCGTCCATTTGCCCGCAGCAGATCCTCACGTACATGCTCCTTCTGCCTGTCCTATGCACGCAGGCATTGTGGTGTACACCAACGCTGCGTTTCACGCGGATTCTGTGGTGTAGACACTCGCTGTGGCGTGCACAGGCGCTGCGATGCACGCAAGCATTGTGGTGTACACAGGTGCTGTGTTGCACATGGTAGCTGCGGTGTACACATGTACACCGGCGCTGTAGTGTACGCAAGGACTGTGGTGTACACAGGCGCTGCGTTGCACACGGTTGTTGCAGTGTATGCAGGCGCTGTGGTATAGTATACACGTGCGCTGTGGTGCACGCGAGCGCTGTGGTGTACACAGTCGCAGTGGGGCATATCGCCACCTACATGCTGCTCGCGTCGTCGTCGTCATCGTCGTCGCTCGTCGCTCGTCGCTCGTCGCGTCGCGCTCGTGGGCGCGGCTGCGGTGCTGGAGCCACACGGCGTGGGGGGGGGGGGTGTTACGTCATAGCCCCCCCCCGCCCCCCCCCCATGACGCCCGTCATCGCCGAACATGAAGAAACGTGCTTTAATCAATCATCTTGGTTGCCTGGGAGGCAGCGCTGGCTGTTTTGCTGCCTCTTGAGGGGCCTCGCGGGACTTGTCCAGGGCATCATAGGGGCTTGTTGAGGATCTCGGGCCAGTCTTAGCTGCGATGGTACTGCCAAAATCTGTCGAAGATGCTCCATTGCCATTCTGGGGCACCCGTGGCGGGTCTCTGGGGCGTCTTGGAGCCCTGTTGGGGCGGTCTTGAGTCGACTGAGGGTGTGTCGGACCGTCTTGGGGCTGGCCTTGGGCCGTCTCGAGCGGTTCTTTGGGCTCCCCGAAACCATTCCAAGGCAAGATTGAGACGAAAAGACGTTCAATGAGAAGACAATTGTACCATGCATTAGTTGTTTGGTTTGGGGCATCGCCTTGCTTCGCTGGGTGCTTCCTTGGGCGCCCCTAAGGGCTTTCGTGTGGTCGCCGTGCTTGTCTTGGGAGCATATGTGTCTGGCCCCTTTATGGGGGGACCATGTTGGACCACCATCTTCGGCCGAGACGCTCCCTTCGGCGACCCCTTCCTGTACCCGAAGAGAAGCGGCGGCTCGGCCGGTTGTGCAAGGCATGCCCGTCTGGGTATGTCGGGGGCAACGATAGGGGGGGATAGGCATAGGGGGGGATGCATCGACCCCCAATCGCCCACTGATCGCCGCTAGGAGCCCGATAGCTCCAACCTACCCAGGAAATGGCGGATTCACTATCGGAGGCCTATCGCCGATCTATCGGCGATGTATCGCCGATTCCAGGTCGATGCTTCCCCCCCTGTGCCTATCATCCTTGCCCCTCGGTGTGCCGCGGAGTGTTCCGTTTTTCCCTCGGGCAGTGGCTCGAAAGAAGCAGGAAGGGCACACATATTGGTGGTCGCAGGGCCGCGCAGAGGCCTCGGATCGGCGCCGGGCTCCCCCGGCGGCCCGTCCGTCCAGCGCCGCTGCTGCCGCGCTCCACGCGGGGGGAGGGGGTCCGGCGCCGCTCCCAGAGATCCGCGCGGGCCTCCGAGGGTCTGCAGATGCCCATGTGTAGCTGTTCCTATTATACTGCTGTGGGCGTTGTTCGTGGTTGAGCGCCCGCTCGGCCGAGCGCTACCACGCGCGCCGCTCTGTGCACAGCCGCGTTTGCTCGGCCAGCTGCGGACGAACATGTTGTTAGGCATGGCTCATGGGGCTTCCAGCTCGCTCTCCTTCTCCGTTGTCCTCCTCGTAGCTCCTGCTCCCGGTCCTGTCCCTTCTCCTCTTCACGACCTGCACCTCCCGCCCCCTGCTCTTCTTTCTCGTCGACCGCCTCGGCCTTTGAAACCCGCCTCGCCCTCGCCCCCTGCTCGCCCGTGCTGCTCTGCTGCTCCTCGCCCTCGCCCCCTCGCGCTCCTCCTCTGCCCCTCGCCCCCTGTTTGCAGCCACGGCGGATGCCCGACGGCTTGCTGGCGAGTGCCTCCCCCTGACAAGAAGTGCCACGGGGAAAATATACAGACTGCGCAGATGGCCTGCGCGCCGCGGGGCGGGAGGCGGGAGTCCCCCTGCAGGCGGAGGTAAACTGCACTGACCTCGGCGCGACCACCGGGACACTCCGCGGCAGATTCCCCGTGTCGCCAGCAGTCTTGTCCCCCCTCGCCTCCCTCTTTCTCTCATACTCCCCGTCGTCCTCCTCCACTTGATGTTCAACCTTCTTCCTTCCTCGTCATCATCATCTCCCTCTTCGCCCTCAGAACCATCATCAGCAGCATCATCATCGTCATCGTCATCGTCGCCACCACCACCACCATCATCATCATCATCATCATCATCATCATCATCATCATCATAATCAGCAGCATGATCATCCTCATCATCATCATCATCATCATCATCACCATCACCATCACCACCATCACCATCGTCATCATCATCACCAGCATCATCATCATAATCACCATCAACATCATGATGATGATCATCATCATCATCACCATCATCGTCATATCGGGAAGGCCTTTCGGCTGGTGCCGCCGACCTTGAAGGGGGTTGACGGCGGCGGCGACGACGACGCTGACGCTCTGGAGCCTTTTGGGGTCTCTCTTGGTGGCCTATTGGGCTCTGTTGGGGGGCCTCTTGAGGGACTTCTTGGGAAGCTCCGTGGCCACTTGGAGCCGCCTCGGAGCAGATCTGAGTCTTGAGGCATGTCGGAAAACACGCATCACCCCGCAACAGCAGTTTAGACTGATGAGGGTGCCTCCAGGTGGGGGGGTCCGGGAGTCCGAGAGGAGGGGGGCAGGGCGGTGTCCTTGTCCACAGGAAGTTGGGGGGCGGGGGGAGGGGTCCTGAGTTCCCCCTGTCCGCAAAGGGGGCCGCCCCCTTGTCCCCCTTGTCCACAAGGGGGGCCCTCCAGGGGCAAGGTCACGATCCCCGGGACACCCCCGCTACCCCACCGGGACTCCTCCCCGCTAACCCCCCCCCCAACGCCAGGGAAGGGATCAAAGGGAAGGGGTTCCTTTCGAAACAAGTACGACGTTGTTTGATTTCCGTTTGGCTGGATCGCTTGAGGAGGAGTGCACAAGAGAAGGGGGGAGCGGGGACGGCGACGTTGACTCAACCAGAAAAACGTCTCACACACGCCGACAGGGTCGGCGGATTCTTCATCATTGCCATGTTCATCTCCTCGTCATCCTATTCAGGTACCAAAAGGAAGGAGCCAGAGGAACACGTGCAGGGCACCCGCAGGTGTGAATGCGCTCCACAGGGGTCGACGCGGCGACGCCGCACATGACGAAGCCGCGGCGGCAGGATATCAAAATCTGCTTGGAGCCCATGCGTCCGCCGATGCAGGATGAGGCGAAGGCACTGATGTGCCCCGTCCAGAAGTATTTGGGTGAGGAGGACCCCAGGCGACATGCTTATGCGCAGGGCCCAGATCGATCCGATCGATACGATTCGATATCGGTTCTGGCCGGCTAGATTCGACTGCATTCTGGTATTCCGACGATCCGAGGCGGCCCGATGCTCGCATGGGCGTTGTTGTGCATCCTGGCGTGGCCGATCCGACCCGATCTCTGATTCCGTGCCGATGCGGCTCGACCCGACGCCCGTCCCGATCCGATCCCGCTTCCCCACGGGGTGCTGACTGATCCTCTGATGCGCCGCGCCCTGGAGCGCTCGAGTCTCGGGTCGAGAAGCCGTGCGCCGCTTTGGTGCGTGGGCAGGACAAGTGCGCATGCCAATGGAGAAGGAGAGGGGGCGCAGCGCACCGCGACTGCGACGCAGAACAATGGCAAGAAGTGGCCGTGGGCGACCCGGGGACCCTCCGCACGCCCCGCGGAGCAGCGGGCGGGCCCTGCGGCGCGCAGGGCGCGGCGGAGGGCGGCCGCGAGGGACCGACGCGGGAGTTCGCTGTCCTGTGTTTTTTGGGGAGTGCGCCAGGAGGACGGATGATGAGCGTGCTTTCCACCACCACCACCACCATAAGTTGGAGGGGGGAAGGAGGAGGAGGAGGAGGAGGAGGAGGAGGAAGGAGGAGGAGGAGCAGAGCAGGAGGAGGGGGAGGGGGAGGAAGAAGAAGAGGGGGAGGAGGACCCCCTCCCCCCTCCAACTAGTGGTGGTGGTGGTGGTGGTGGTGGTGGAAGACAGGCCCATCCACAGAGAGCGAGAGAGAGCGAGAGAGCGAAGTCGGAGGCGACGACCTGGGCGCACGGCCCAGGGGATGGTGCTGCCCGCATCCGCGGGGGAGGCGTCGCCGTCGGCGCCAACGGACTCCTCGCCGCTGCCGCCGCCCCCGAGGCGAGGCAGGGGGCGCCGGAGCCGCGGCGGCGCGCGCGCCGCCGCGGCGCCGCCCGCGCCCTCCGCCTCTCCGCCTCCAGGCCTCCGACGCCTCCGACCGCGGAGCCGCAGGCCGGCGCCCGCGGAGGCACAGGGCCTCTGGGCCGTGTGCTTTGGGTCGGGCTCCAGCGGCGCACCGCACTGGGGGGGGGTCCTCCTCCCTCCTCCTCCTCCTCCTCCTCCTCCTCCTCCCTCCTCCCTCCTCCTCCTCCTCCTTTTCCTCCTCCTCCTCCTCCTCCTCCTCCTCCTCCTCCTCCTCCTCCTCCCCCTCCCCCCCTCCTCCCCTCCTCCCCCTCCTCCTCGTCTTCCTCCTCCTCGTCTTCCTCCTCCTCCTCCTCCTCACCTCCTCCTCCTCCTCCTCCACCTCCTCCTCCCCCTCCTCCTCCTCCTCCTCCTCCTCCTCCTCCTCCTCCTCCTCGGCCGAGGGGGAGCGGGCTGGCGGCGAGGCAGTGCCACGCCGGCCACGCCCTGCAAGCGTGGGGCGCGGTCGGGAGCCATCATCCCTTGCGCAGCCCCTTCGAGCAGTGGCGAAGCTCCCTGACCTGCCTTCTCAGGCCCATCTCAGAGAGTTCTGAGAACCTTCTGTGGTTTGCACGAGCATGCTTGGCTGAGACCGGCTTGGTTTGATACGTCGGCTTTATGACATATCGCCCTTGCTTGTTTTCGTAGAGCAGTCCTTTGTTCTAAGAACATGTCGTGGTAGGCCTATAGGAATGCCAAGACGGTCGGTCCCTGCTCAACGTCTGGCGTCGAGGAAGTGCCACGCCTGCCACGCCCTGCGAGCGTGGGGCGGATTCGGGAGCCACCCGGCCGAGGAGGGCAGGCAGAGCATCGGCGCCGGGGGCGCCAGGGTGGTCGGCGGCAGAGGAGGCTATGCTGGAGTCGGGCAGGTCCCCTTCTACAGGAGGAAAGTTCGAAATTAGTCAAACTATACTATGGGGACGATGTTCGGTTATGTTTGATTATTCTTGATTGTGAAAGTGCGCCAGTGGATCTCCCCGAATACACTAAAGGAGGGGGTCCACAACCCCCCCCCCCCTCCTCCCCTTAAGGGGGGAGGGGGGTCCCGACCCCCCCCCCCTCCCTTGAAGGAGGGGGGGGGTCCGGACCCCCCCCTCCTTCAAGGGAGGGGGGGGGGTCGGGACCCCCCTCCCCCCCTTGGCGCTGGAAGGGAGGGGGGGGGTTCGGACACCCCCCCCCTCGTGTAGGGAATACGGAGTTGGGAATAGGGAATGGCGGGTAGTGAGTAGCGAGTTAGTGCGTAGTGAGTAGTGAGTATTGGATAGTGAGTAGTGGATAGTGAGTGGCGAGTAGGGAGTAGGGAGTAGGGAGCGGGGAGTAGTGAGTAGTGAAGAGTGACTAATGTGTACTGATCAGTGAGTAGCGAGTGGCGAGTAGTGAGTAATGAGTAGAGTGCAGCGAGTAGCGAGTAGGGCGTAAGGAGTAGCGGGTAGTGAGTAGTGGGTAGTGAGTTGCGGGTGGCGAGTAGTGATTAGTGAGTAGTGAGTAGTGGGTAGTGCGTAGTGCGTAGTGAGTAGTGAGTAGTGAGTAGTGAGTACTGGGTAGTGAGTAGCGAGTAGTGAGTAGTGAGTAATGAGTAGTAAGTAGTGAGTAGTGAGTACTGAGTAGTACGTAGTGCGTAGTGAGTAGTGAGTAGTGAGTAGTGATGGATCGAGAGTAGTGGGTAGTGGCAGTGGGTAGCGAGTAGTGAGTAGCGAGTAGGTTGTAACGAGTAGTGAGTAGCGAGGAGCGAGTAGGGCGCAGTGAGTAGTGAGTAGTGAGTAAACAGTAATCAGTACTGACTAGTGGATAGTGATTAGTGATTAACGAGTAGGTAGTAGCGAGTATTGACTAGTCAGTAGTGAGTAGGGAGTAGGGAGTAGTGAGCAGTGAGTAGTAAGAAGTGGGTAGCGCATAGTGGGTAGTGAGTAGCGATTCGTGAGTAGTGGGTAGTGAGTAGTGACTAGTGACCAGTGACTAGTGAGTTGTGACTACTGACTAGAGACTATGCCGTGACTAGTGAGTAGGGAATAGTAAGTAGTGAGTAGTGAATAGTGAATAGCGGGGAGTGAGTATTGAGTAGCGAGTAGCGAGTAGGGAGTAGCGAGTAGTAAGTACTGAGTACTGTGTAGACATAGGGAGTAGGGAGTAGCGAGTAGCGAGTAGTGGGTAGTGAGTAGTGATTTGTGGGCAATGAGTAGTGAGTAGTGGATAGTGGGTAGTGGGTAATGACTAGTGATTAGTGAGTAGTGAGTAGGGAGTAGTGAGTAGTGCTTAGTGAGTAGTGAGTATTGAGTCGTGGGTAGTGAGGAGTGAGTAGTGAGTGGTGAGTAGGGAGGAGGGAGTAGTGAGTAGCGAGTAGTGAGTAGCGAGTAGTGGGTGGTAGGGGGGGAGGGGGGGGGGTCCGCGACGACGGA